ACAGGTCCATTTACCATTTAGCAATAATTAAATATATATATTTGTTAAGGTTTCTGGATGTCATACAACTTCCTCCAACTTAACCCTGACAAAACAAGTCCTTATCATAGACCCGAAGAGAATTTCTGAAAAAATACAGTAGTATATTGGTCCTCTAGCCTAAAGAAATCCTAGGAGTTTTCAACGCATGAACTTTGAGTAGCACATAAAGAAAGTGCTCCAATTCTGTTGCTTCCAAGAAAGGAAGCTGCTAAAAACGCACCTGTTTCGTAAGCACTTTATCCTGTAATGTGTTTTTACCTTCTGTGCAGTTATTATTGATTTCATTGTATTTCATATTATCATTTCCTGTATTAACTTTCTAATGTTTGCGTTGTACAGCACCTTGCAACTCTGGGTTTGAAGGAACCTACATCACAATCATTTTTTCCATTGTAATGCATCAAGTGTATAGAGAAAATTTAGGAATCTGAACGTGATTTAATTAAGTTGTCTTGTGGCTCACTACACTGTACCAACATTTTTGACAATTTGATAACAAAAGTTCACCTTGTGGTCCCTGACACTTACTATGAAGGTTTAATGTGTGTGTGTGTCTCTCAGGCCAGCAGCAGCTCTGATTCTCTGGATGGACCTTGCGTGGACTACGCCAAGAGCTATGATGCAGTCATCTTTGATGTGCTGAAGGTGACGCCTGAGGAGTTCGCTGTGAGTACGCTTCATATGTCTCTCAGTATTTCTGCAGCATACAAGATGGATCAGATCTTACCTGAAACACCCAAGCTGCTATTAGACCACCTACCTATTTCTATGTCAGAAATGGAATATAATATNNTATAATTACCTGAATATAGGAATTGTTGTTTTTGTCATCTTAGAATAAGCTGTTTATCTACAGTGGGAGTCTTCTACGGAGGCCAACATGTTTAAACACTATAAAACAGAGAAACCAAATACTGGCTTTTGCGGCCACTGTAGTTTTCTTCTACATGCTTTGGTGCTAGGCGAGCAGTATTCAGTTGGTTGCAATCTGTGAAATCGCCACTATATGCCACTAAATCCTACACACTGGACCTTTTTGGGGAGAGATAATTAGAGGTTTGCTCTCTGATAAAGTTCCTGGTAGCTCACCTGGTACCTTACACTCCATGTACCAAGGTGTCCTTCCTGCAGACTAACAATTAAAGGCAATTGACTGGCTAACCATAGCTCCATAGCTTGTTTGTTTGCTAACATTAGCGCTAGTAAAATACTGTCTAAGCGGATATGTTAGTTGACATTAAAACATTTTTCTAGCATTCATTCTAGTGTATGTCACTTTTGGGCGTTGGCTGCGATGCTGCAGTTCACTTAACGGCCACTATTAAGAATTGTTTTCTGTAAGTTGCATAAAGAACCTTCAAAGGTTGTTTCATAATTTCTACACATTTGCTTCAAGTATTTAGTCTGCTCATGACAAAATCACATCAATCAAGTGGCAGCAGAGTTACTCTGCTCCTGACTGATGGTGTACTGTATTTCTATATATTTAACCTGCATACTGAACAATAATGTGGATTTCTTTTTTTGTTCTTTCAGAGCCAAATCACTTTGATGGATGCACCAGTTTTTAAAGCAATACAGCCAGAGGTAAGAAAGACCTATGTTTTTTCCACTTAAAACATAGGAATTCTTCCAACAACACATTTTAATCTAGTAGGAAAACCAAGATTCCAGCTGTGGCCCCTTTTGTAAAAGACAAATTTAGGGGTTCTGGTAGTTCATATAATGTTTGTTGTGTCTGTTGATTCTATTCTTACCAGGAGTTCTTACGATTACTGCAAAAATCTGTTATTATTGACCTGTCTCGATCAGTTTCTTATTCATTTGTGTCTGGTTGGATGTACAACAGTCCTTAAGAAAATCAGTGAGAGATCAGTGTTTTGCAAGGAACCCCTCTGAGATCTATCCCTCCCAACAGACTCGTTCCAGTCCCCTTTCTGTTTCAAATACCTCTAATGTTGCCATGATGGCCTTCACAGCTGTTGCCACTCAGATGAACCCAGACTGGCCTTAGTGGTGGAATTGTCCACTGGAAACCCTTCTTTACCCTCTGTTAGTCAATGAAATTCCAGTCACTGCTCTGCCCTGAAGTATTTTTTTTTCCTCACCACAGGCTCTACACAGAGTGCATGCAGGGAAAAGAACCAGGCATAGGTGGTAGAGACATTAGGGTTTGAGAATTAGAAATTAACCCAAGACGAAGCCCTCACAAGCATGTGGTGTATGGTTCACTTAACTCTTGTCCAAAAATATCTCCCAGATCTTTTCCTTTTTCCAAATATCTGCAGTTACAGCTGCACAGCCAAGAACTTTTATTACATTTTTTATTTAATTACTCAAGAATACTTCTTTGAAATATAAACAAATGAATAAAATATGCACACGTTTTGTAGGGTATGCAACAGATTTACAAAAATATTAGCAAATTCTGTTATTATATTATACACCAATAACAACAGACAGACTAGGTAAGCATTGTTTTTACAAGTATTTTGAATCACCGCAACCACAAGAGGTCCTTTAGCATGCAGTTATAAATGTGCACAAAAAATATGAGG